TTCCCCACCATTGATGAGTTATCTCGTCTTTTACAAGAAAACACTTCCCCGCCAAAGACCAGTTTTTACAGCTTTCCGTGTTTTCACTGTTGTACACTCGGGGGCACTATCACACATCTTCTGAACGAGTACAAGACCTCCCGAACAAAAACACACGTGTACAGGACGGAGAAACTAGCGATCTCTTATGTAAACAGATGCATATGAAAAATAATGCGATCAACAGCAATAGACAGCATATAAATGAAAACGGCATAATGTTACAGAGTAAAATGTTGATCCAGGAAGTGATGTCTGTGCAAGCTTTGGAGGTGTTGATGGAAGCTATTTACTGGATTTATGCTTTGATAATCGTACTGAATATCATCCAGATGTAGTTTTTAATAAAAAATGTGATTTTCTCACCTTTTTGCTCAATTATAAATTATGAAACCTACCTATATCCAAGTGTTGATTTAAAAAAAGATTGCGTGAAGCTAGAATAAAACAGATTTTTTTTGTTTAAAAGTAGAGGCTCTGATCTTATTTTGGTGTATTGCATATTCAAATATTCATACAGCAAAATATACTGGAGGCCATCAAATCTTAGTGAAAATCATCAAAATCGCTGGCGGTGGCTGGCAACTTTTCTCAAAGAATGCTGGCGGGGAAAGAGTTAAATGTCTCAAATCTGTTCTTTATTGATAGTGCATTATTCAGAACAGTTATTTCAAAGCAGCTTCAGTAATCAACAGGAGAATGAGTGTGATTGCATCCATTGTGGCGACTTCAATGTCCGCTATTCAGTTCAGTGTGGATTCGGCTCTACAGAAGACGACAGTGTCATTAATTCATCAAGTTGTGTCAGTGCCATCACATTGATATTTCTGAATATTAATCTTTTAAACCCATCTGAGCAAACCCGAGTCAGCATTTGTCATTAACCAGCAAGTAACTACTCGTTTCAGTCCAGAATCACTCGAGTTTGCAGTCTGGGTTGAAAGTGCTGAGAAAGCAGGACTGAACGCTGCTGCATGCAAAAGATAAAACAGCAGCACGTCTTTCTATTGTGTCGTTCTCGCTGTCAGACAGCAAACATCCAGCGCAAGCAGTGTAGAAGTGATGTGTGTGTGTGTGTGTGTGTGTGTGTGTGTGTGTGTGTGTGTGTTTCTGCAGGTTTCACCACTGACCTGCGCTCCAACACCGGCGGGCAGGCCTTCCCTCAGTGTGTGTTCGATCACTGGCAGATCCTGCAGGGCGACCCCCAGGACCCCGCATCCAAACCCTTCCAGATCGTGGCCGAGACACGCAAACGCAAAGGCCTGAAAGAGGGCATCCCGGCACTCGACAACTTCCTCGACAAGTTATAAACGACCCGGCGACACGTCTCCGTTCTCTAGCCCAAACCTAGACGATGCTTTACACTCATTCCTGTGTTTCATTCCTTCCCTCCTGCACTCGCTTCCTTCCCTCAGAGTTCAGCAGAGGGACTGGACTGTAAAGGGCACAAACACCACACGGTTATCACCTTCAGACAGGAACGTCCAGTGGATTATGTAAATCTAATAAAGAAAATAAAAATGGAAAGGGGGGGTGGAGAGAGATAGAGATGGAGAGTGGGAGGGGGATGGAGAGATGGTTGGATGGAGAGAGTGGGAGATGGAGAGATAGAGATGGATGGATGGAGAGTGGGAGGGGGATGGAGAGATAGAGATGGATGGATGGAGAGAGGGGGAGATGGAGAGATAGAGAGAGATGGATGGATGGAGAGTGGGAGGGGGATGGAGAGATAGAGCTGGATGGATGGAGAGAGGTGGGTGTGCTTTTTGATAAATGGCGTTATGGTTTTGAAATTTTAGTTCAAAAGCCTGGTGATAGTGTTTAAGCAATCGAGAAAAACTGTAAATCCAGTCTGCTGTCCTAAAAACAAATGGTCAAAAATGTTCAGATGTAAAGAACTATTCAACTTTATTGAACATGGGTCAAGTGCAATATCATGTGCCGATGGAAACCAGCGGAGACTACGTGTAGAAGATGACCTCTGGGATCTGGCCGTCCTCGACGGATGTGCCGTTGTTGTTTCCCGCGGCGTAGCAGAAGGTGAAGCAGGTTTTGGTGCCGGAGCTGGACGACTCGTGCGTGACCTTCCTCATGCCTTTAGTGCCGTAGTGCGAGTCTGGACCCTGAGACAGAAGACAGAGACACAGATGTGTTATACAATCTCATCTTTAGATGAAACCTCCAAGGCAATATTCAGTAAATCTACATTTGTTCCCATAGTAATAATGACTAAAGACAGAGCAGCTGTGAGAAAAAAAGAGAAAGAGAGGATGAAAAATGGAAATTTAGTCTCTGCTCCTGTCATTTATTTTAAACAGATTTCATAAATGTGGTTTGGATCAGGTTGGTAAAAATCGGATTGATGCATGTAATTTTTGCAATAAATGAAATGCAGTAGATTTGTTTATGCACCGAATGCTATTCTCATGGCAATAAAAACTAAAATAAATAAATAAACATACAAATAAATAGTTAAAATGAATAAATATATAAAAAACAAGCCAAATAACCTTCATACAAAAGATTAATCTATATAAGATTTTTTTAAATGTACACTAGCATATATATATATATAGAGAGAGAGAGAGAGAGAGAAATTAGCACTTTTAATCAGCAAGGACGCATTAAATTGATCAAAAGTGACAGTAAAGACATTTATAATGTTACAAAAGATTTCTATTTCAAATAAATGCTGTTCTTTTGAACTTTCTATTCATCTGTGAATCCTGAAAAATAAAATGTATCACAGTTTCCACAAAAATATTGTGCAGCACAACACTGATAATAATCAGAAATGTTTCTTGAGCAGCAAATCAGCATATTAGAATGATTTCTGAAGATCATGTGACACTGAAGACTGGAGTAATGATGCTGAAAATACAGCTGCGCATCACAGAAATAAATTACATTTTACTATATATTCACATAGAAAACAGTTATTTTAAGCGGTAATATTATTTCATTGTTTTTACCGTATTTTCAAATCAAATAAATGCAGAATTGATGAGCAAAAGAGACTTCTTTGGAAAAACAATAATCTAAATGTTAATAAAAATCAAAATAAATTTTCTTTCGGATGACAAGAAACTGAAAAAACAGGAAATAGAATAACAGATCTGTTGGTGTGGGTAAAGTCACAGTTAGTTTAAGCAGCTTTATATTAACTAACGATGGAATGCCGTCACCTTTAATGTAGCACAGGCCGTGTAATTGACGTTAGGCAGAACTTCCACCGGTTCCTTGAACATGACTCTGAAGGTGCTGGCCGATCCGTCACAGCTGAAGCCGGTGTCATTCTGACCCAGAACTGTGTTACTGTCAGTGTGAATGATCTGAAAGAGATTCAGGATCAGAAAACAACTCTTTCAAACACTGATCTGTTCATCTGAGCAGACCCCACCAATACTGATGCAATACTGAAACTATATCACCACCACAAACATGAGGACTGCACTGAAATAAAAGAAGCACACTGCAGGATGATGATTTTTTTTTTCAAATCTATCACAGTGTATAAGGAATAGTCTATATGTGACCCTGCAGCACAAAAGCAGTCTTGAGGTCGCTGGGGTATATTTGTAGCAATAGCCAACAATACATTGTATGGGATTTTTTTGCACCCTCAGATTCCAGATTTTCAAATAGCTGTATCTCAGCCAAATATTGTCCGATCCTAACAAACCATACATCAATGGAAAGCTTATTTATTCAGCTTTGAGATGATGCATACATCTCAATTTTGAAAAATTGACACTTAAGACTGGTTTTGTGCTCCAGGGTCACATATTTTACATATTTTAGGTGTTATGACTGATGTTTCACTATTAATCAATATCTTTTATAAGTTCACCTAAATAGTGGTTACAAATAAATGCAAATAAATCATGTAGTAATTAATAAGAGGTTATAAAAACTGCTCGTACAATAATTTTATTATAGAATTGATGTTAAATTTGAAATTTGACAATTGAGTGCCTGAAATTTCTCACATAACTATATATAAACATGTATTTTCCAGTGTACTTTTAGTATCGGGATACTATTATAGTTTTCACACATATTTTGAATCAGTTTCTATTTTTCTATTTTCCGTTTTTTAATTTCATTTGAGGTAAAGTTTTAGTAATTTTGTTGCATGTTTTTGTCATATATATATATTTTT